AATAATAATAATAATAATAATAATAATAATAATAATAATAATAATAATAATAATAATAATAATAATAATAATAATAATAATAATAATAATAATAATAACAATAATAATAATAATAATAATATATCCGTTTTGTTCCATCTAATTAAGGAATCTAATCTTTGATCGCTTTCAAAAAGAAGTTTTTGGAAATGTAAATGGAAAGAGTGATAACAATACAATAGTGTCAACAGATTTAACTTAGTGAATGGAATCTTACTTCATTTCATGATCTCAAATGACCCTGAAGATCAAATAGACAGGTGCTATTGCAACAATAATGATTTTTATCGTTCGCTTTTTCATTATAATGATAAAAAGATATGAAGCAATATTTCCCATTGATTGGCATATTTTAGATGGTTTAGTGAGGTAGAAAAGTGACATAAATAATGGTGGTGATAAGTGTAGATAGGAAAAATAAAGAATTTCAAGTTTATATGTGGTATAGAAATATGAATCGTAAAAGGGAATGAAAATTGAGATTAGAGCTAATCCATCCTCATATTAGAGAAATAAAGCTTATGTTCTTGAGGATAAAGAAAAAGGACAAGAAATTTCTTATCTTCTGCTCCATTTTCCAAGTCAATTGGATCCCAATGTGGTTTCGATCAAAGAGCCTAAGCAAAAGCAGAATGAAGCAATGTTTCCCAGTTTAGTATATTCAACATCGTTAAAAATAGCATAAATAATGATGGTTATAGGTATAAATAGGAGAAATAGCGGATTTTGTAAATGATTATAAACACGTAAAAGAAAACAGAATCCATTAAAGTTCATTTTTCTAAACGCCTTAAATTATGGAAAAGATACGTTATTTTGTCCATACGTTCATTCTCAAACAAAAGACGTCTTCGTTGGCCCATTGAGGGAAATTCAAAAATCCCAACTTTTTTCGGATGAGAAGATGAAGGTGTAGGGAAAAAGACTGAATTGTGCAAGGGAGCGGAAAAGGCAAATAATCATAAAGAATGGATTGTCCTCCTATTATCGCATTCTAATATTCAGCACTTTTAAGCTTTCTAGTCGCCTTCAGTTTATCACCAAAATTGCTATCCCAAGTTAGTAATGAAAATTACTCAAAGCAAAGCACTTTGATATTTATTGCTTTTAAATTAATTTCCTATCACACATAGAAAAGACAGACACGAAACTCCACTAATGTAAATTTAAAAAAAAAAAGACAACTTTTATCTGCTTAGCCGCAATGAACATGTTATACGATAAACATATCATAAAATAGAAAATAAAAGCTAAAAGATCAAATTAAAAAACTTTGTTACAACTATCTGACAAATTTCAATGTCCAGTCTGTTTTGACTACCTTTTTATTTACTGCCTTTTCAAAACTATTACCTCATCAGCAGAACATCTGATGTTTTAGGATAAAATTGGACCAAAAAAATTTTTATAATTACCCATTTCCTTTCTCGAATTTTAGATAAGACGGAAACTGGATAAAAAAGCTTCTTACATCGTAAATTAGATATATATTAGATAATTTGTAATCCCATCGTACGAATAGACCGTCTAATAAGCATACAAGCACGCATCAGAAACTAGAAAGTTGAAAACGGATGATGAAACTTTGAAAAAGTTACGAAAAAGCATAGGTAATTGTTTGCAAGAGAGTATCAAAGATCAGTAAGTGACAAGCTGATATGACCGCAGGGAAAGCACATTACCTGAGGCATTAAGTCACTTTTGTTTTGTGAATTCTCATCTTTTTTTCCTATACCAGTCGATGTGATTTTTATTGTAGCAGGTAAGTACTGAACTATATAAAACCGTAGAATAGCAGTTCTATGTCTAATTAGGTTTTGTAAACTTAAAATATATTATTTCTGCAATTATCACTGCCTTTAGAGAACAAATTAAAATTAAGAATGTGTCGGTGTGGTGAAAATAGTCAACCGAAGTGCAAAAATATTGTGCACACGACAATCTTACAATGTCCTGATATGATCCTGAAAAAAATGATGAAGGGAGCATTGATGGGAACAATGGTAGGCATAGTTTCCTGGAGAAAGTCCCTTGAGGAACAAAAGATTGAACTGGAGTCCGAAATATAACACTAAGTAATCATTTTATTGAACGCATTCTGAGGCATTTGAAAAGCGACACGTTTAAAATGTCACATAGCTTTGAAATAAAATTAAATGTGCACCTTTATAATGAATGCAATAGCAAATGAATAGCTCATTTCATATTGCAAAATTAAATGAAAATAATTGTATAAATAGCTGACAAAAGCGACAAGTATGATGAGTGTGATCGAATTCCAGAAAACCGGAGTGATTTTGAACATTGATGCAGAATTTTCTTTTTGACTTGTTTTTGGGACACTCATTCGATCATAGTAAGTAGCAAGAAGATCGAGGATAACACCATTTGTCCAACCAAAACCATCCTTAAAAATATTTTAACCATTTTTTGGCATTTCAATAATTCAGATTGAAATTCCTTTCTGGTTTCAAAAAGAATTTAACTTGCATACTTGTACGTTATATTCGCCGCCACTTCCAGGTTTAGGAACTGTTCCAATAATATCAATCTAAACAACGTGAATTGAGCGCTTGAGGTCGAATAAGAAAATATTTGGTACCCCGTTTGTATTTAAATCTGTATTTTGAAATTAGTATGGTATTTTTATGATTTCCAGATACCAGAATGAAACGAAGCTATGGCAACTTCAGAAAGCATGTGAAAAATAGCATAAAATAAATTTATCCTGTTTAGTCGTGAAGTACATCTTTGGCAGGTTAAGAACTAAATTTACCAGTAGGCACAATTGAGGATTGAAAGGTATCAAAAAACCTTGTCCCACATTTGATTTGTGGCTTGATAAACGCGATAATTGGCCAACACCCACTTTTTTGCCAATTTATATGCCTGCAAAACATTCCTTTTGCTATTCAAATTTAAGATCTGCCCATTTCGGAACTTGGTAAAAGATTCATAAATATTCAGAGTATTTTAAAAACTTGAAAATATTTTAACGCATTGTGGAAAAAGCGAATTTAAAATAAACTCGAAATTCGAGAAAATACCAATTCTTGGACATCAGGATTGTTGGATTTTCGCATTCCTTCAATAATTATATGTTGCAAAGGGGCCCACCCATTCGGAAAATCCCATTTCTCTCCACTACTTGTTTCAAGACTTGTAGGCACACCATTCTGATAGCCAAAAAGATTTGATCGCTATAATAATCTTCAGTCTTCGATTTCGAAGAAATTTTTAAAACACGGAAAGACTAAATGTAAAAGACTGAAGCATTAACGAAGAAGTGGAAAAACTTGAACATTATTAAAAGAAGAGAAGTTCGAAGTTTCGTGCAAAACTTTATTCGTTGGTGTCTAAAGATGCGAGATGCTAATTTGTCACATTTATCCAGCTGTCTTCTATGGTAGCTGCAAAGCAGCATCTCATTCAAAGCTCTATCTATGAAGAAAGACATATTATGCAAAAAATTAAACTAAAAATAGTGCTGTAAAGAAATTTACGTCCATAAAATTAACGATATCAGCTGGTTTCTCGTATTCTATTTCTGAATAGCATTGCGTGAATAGAGGCATCACATTGGATGGATAAAAAATGACATTGTGAGATTTGGTGCGCAAGTTATAGTCGAACCAAGACTTTTCAGTGTTATTGTAAAACACAGCATTTAAGGCTTCCGAAATACTCTCTTTTTTACTCTCGAATTCTGCTACTTTTTTCTTATCACCTGCTTTAAAGATATTGGTATTGGATATTGCACGCAATTTCTTTGGAATTGAATCTGACACTATTACAAAAAAAATGCACTTGCTGACTAAATGTTTCAAAAAATTAAATTTTTAAAATATTTGTTAACTGGTTTCAGAATAATCGAAATACCAAAATATTACTTTGGAAGTATGGAAGAAGAATATACTTATGCTTGCTAAATATTTAAGGATATTGGCATTCCAGCAAAGTAATGCATTCAGATCCACTGGTACCACATTGGTTGTTTCGATGGATTGCATCGTCTGCCGATCTTTAAACCATCGAGACGAAAAGTCCCAACCTGATTCAGCCGCTGACGCAAGGTCCTTCAAATAACTAGGGATTGTTCGATACCAAACTTATTACAGGACATTTCATTGTTTTCCACTACAGTGTTATTCTGAGTTTATAATTTTTACAACTTCTGATACCGCACATATTCGTTAAAAATTTGCGGTCAAACGCAAATTGACACAATCGCCGTTATCATATCAATTCCTTCTACTAATAGCAAAGCCTGTAGTACCTGAAAAAATTTTTGCCTATCTTCCTGTTTGACTTTTACTGCAGCTTCAACGTCAACTCGATATGATTCTGGACGAGGTACGTTTGATACAGTACGATATTGATATACTGTAAAATTTTGTCCATACTTCTGTACTATCAGTGACCTAAACCGTTTATATACTGTTTTAGCACATTTTCATACATTCTTTTAGGTTTGGCACCATTTGTATTTCAGGATAAAGTGTCGTTGATATGGTGCGACTATCAAACATGGTTAATATAAACATCATGTGGAAGATCGTAATTACCGGTCACTACTAAGAGCTTCTATCATCAACAACACTATTTATTAAGCTAGTAAGAAAATGCTTGGAATTTAGATCCGGTTGGAAAGGTCACGCTGTCTAATTTTATAAAATTGATATAACGGAAATCTTTTAAGCAATGTTCGAATGTATTTGCATACAACTTAAAAACAGTTAATATATGCTGACTAGTTACCTATTTTTAATCCAAAATTCAAACTCTTTCACAAGATAATTGAAATTTTCCTTTATAAATTTGGTATCTTTGGTAACCTTGTAATATTCATATACCATTGGAATCAAGAATGGTGGCTGTGAACGTCTTAAATAATAAACGCGTCCACCATTCGGCATAAATCCGAATCTGAAGCAGATGTCGACATTTTAAAACAAAGAACTAAACAAACGACTAAACAACGACTAAACAAAGGAAAATATTGATATAATTGATATGATCTTGATTTTCTGAAAACCACTGATTCAGTTTTATCTAGCATAATTAGTAGTCTGAATTAGTAACTCTTTTTTGAAAATATACATTTTCGCATTCTTGGAATAAAATAAATTTTATTTGTAATATACGAAGATCTTTTATTTGTAATACAAATTTTATTTTTAATACAGTTTTAAGTGAGATAGAATCTAGAAAAATCTCATTTACTTCGAAGAATTCAGGATACAAATCACCGCCTCATTAAGCGGCCTTCTATATCTAGCAGTAGAAGTATCTCAACTTGCGAATATAGCACTTGCTGTAGTGGAAGGAGTTGACACAGGGGTAAATTAGAATACAGAATGACAAAAAAGATTACTTTTTAACGCAATGCAAGAAGTTTGTCAGCATATTTTTAACCATTTTGTAAAGGTTGCTGGCAATCAAACCCTTAACAATCCAATATGCATCCCAATAGTAAAATTCTCTGAATCGACCGCCTGGCACGATGAATGATTCGGGTACTACGATCAATGAATGTCGTTGTGGATGTTTGATTGGTTTAACCTTAGAAAATATATGTATAAAGAGAAGTTAGAAAGAGAACATCAAAATTTTGATTCATTAAAAGTTTTTGCAATGATATGTAGCTGTCCCGTATTGGTTTATATTTGGAATTGATTAGGCTTCCACGACATTCAGAATTATAAAAAATCACAATCTTTAAAAATGTCAATAGCGAAGCTGAAAAGCTAAAAACTCATGTATCATACATAATTGATTAGACTTTTTGCATCCATGTTATGCTTACCTGTCTACAGAGGTCTTTCCATCTTTTATTCAAAAATATTGCAAAATGTTTCAGAGTTTCATCCCTTATCCGAGCAATTTTGGGTGGCAATTCTTGCCATCCCGGAATATTACATTTCTCCAATTCTTGCCCTTCTTTGTCAAAGTAACGTTCACGGAAAGCTAGCAGCTCCTGCGAATTAATATTTTCCACCGTTTGTCCTCCAAACTTTTTAAGGAATTCATCTCGAACAACTTCTAAAATACATGAACCAAGTAACGAATGATATAATTAGGAAAAAGAGATATTTCAATCTGTTTCAATCAAAATACGTGAATCCATTTCAATCAAAATACATGAATCTACGTCAAATATGATTTGATGGTATCTTGCTTTATAATGATATCAATCCGATATATTTCCAAAAAATTTCCACTAAAGTTCAACATTCATGCAAGCATTATTGTGAGATTAAAAATTTTGCATTTTCATAAATTTGTAAATAATATACTACAAAAATGATTATGAAAGCTTTTTATTTACTTGGATCAGCCTTCAGCGGTCGATCGACAAATGTTTTTGAATCTAATTCCAGCTGGTGTAGGTTCATCGCAGCTAGTATATTACCGCTGCAGTAGATGAACCTGAAATGGTTGCATTCGAAATTGTCGTTTGGAGAAAGGTAAACTGAAATGGTACCTAGGAGAGATTCTATAATCAAAGGTTTGGTTAGAACGCATATCCGAGCTAGACTGATCTCCCATTCTAAGATATCAAAAATTCTGGTATTCAAAGGAGAAAAATTCTGTACATCAGAATATTAATGTCATATTTCCTCATATGCAGCAGAGATTGCAATCCAATCCTCTACAAAAGTATTCTGACATATCGCGCTTTACTCAAACCAGGACACGTATCTGTTATCTTCAAAAGATTTCAGTCCTGTTACAAACCAATTTCCAGTTTTGTCTGATTCATCGCAAACTTGAGAGAGATTTTTTTGCTCTTCGAGGCTCTTTATAACAACACCGACGTGAGCGGTAAATGGTGAAAAGAATATGAGTGGCTTCAACATGTAAACTATAAGTATAGCACAAATGCAGATTGCGCTACTTTGCATTCTGAAATATTAGCTTCTGTCTATCTTCCGTTTAAGGATAGGTCAATACTTTTTAATGTATTTTATTTGCACTTAATGATCGACCATATCAAATAATCGTATATTAGCTTTGAGGCGCGGAAAATTTGGATGTTATGATAGGAACCTTTCATGCATATTCGTTAAGCGTTCTTACTTGGAACAGAGAGTGAAAAACTAATGGAATTAGGCAAGTTATCAAATCTGATCTTATTTGGTTAAAAAATGAAGCTGTATAGGATCAACCAATACATAACCTTTTCTTTGGCTAAAATGTTATCAATTTATCCTTTTTTCGAGTTGAGTGAAGCGATCGAGAATTACACAACCGATTATGAATTACGACGGAAGAAAAAATGTTTCGCTATATCGAATATTTCCTTTTTAATAGATTTTTCTCTGCATCATTTAAAATTTTTATAGATTCAGCTAACATCGACTGAATACTTTTCACTTTTTCAAAAATTTACTGTCAGAAATAATCATGAGAATGTCAATTCCACTTTTTCCTCATTTCCTTTACAAGTTTATAACAGTTTATTCACCTTCAACTTCTTCATTTCATCACAATACCGATACATTTTTGCGCAATTACACAATCATATCTATTTTTTCATTCATCAATGCGATCACTGCCTAAAACTTTCTATTTTATCTATTTAATATTTTCTTTTCACAAGAAATTATTAAGAGTAATTCCAACTTTATCGCCGATTTTCTCAATCTCAAACTTGAGTAAAACCTTTATTCCTCAAACTCGATAACGTAGAAACGAATTCAACAACCACAATATCAATAAGACAAATTCAATGACAATATCAATAGGAACAAAAGAGGGAAACCATAGACCAAATGCCGCCCGATATCCTCCAACCCCCAACGTGTTGAAACGCATCTTTACAAAATGATTTGGCGCTCAGGATCTTCTTCCTAGAGTAGAGATATCCCAGCAAAGCTATAATCTATCAGATCTATGATCACAATTGGCGGCTTTAATAGAGCACATAGGCATCTTTTCTTCATTGCTTCGATTTCGCGTTATAATTTTCGGAGTTTTTCCGACAAACTTGCCATGCCTTTGTTCGATATAAATTCGTTTAAACTGCTCTCTATCAAATCCCCCTTCGCTCGAGATTTCTGAAAATATAAATTACCTCCATTATATTTCAAATATGATTTGAATAATTACCGTCGGTGTGAGATACTTTCCCAAATATTTCCAAGAAATCTCTCTTTATCAAATCCTTCAATAATATTTAGCCAAAACAACGACAAGAAAATTAAGACGCTACCATACCTCCAATTATTGCAATTCTCAGCTGCAGTAACAACATTAAATGAATCAGATTCGCAATAATAGCTTTTAGTCCTAGGTGCATGTCATAATGGTCATGGCTTTATCTAAATAGCCTAATAGATGAAAGAGTTTTTGAGAACCATTTTTGAAGTATCTTAAAATGACCCATGACTAATATTACTTTAAAATGTACTGATTTCGTTCGTACTAAAATAAAATAAATGGTCGATACTGCAGCATTGAAAAATTTACAAATTCTTCGTAGTTAACCTATTAAGTGGCTTACAATTCAAATTTTTAATGTCATTAAATTAAATTATATGTTTATTATGTTCTATCCCTTCCAGGAAAGCTATATTTTATCATCTTATTGTTAAAAGAGACAGTAGAAAAAGATTAAATACAAATATAGCAAAACTTAGTATTTTTACTGCAATCATTTATATCCATTTAGAAATGAAATTTCAAATCTATAACTCAAAGAAATTTTGGCTGTCAAATTCAGACCTTTTGGTGGTCGGAAGAGTTTTTGACTGCTAAACAAAAGTTCAGCTTAAGGAATTTTAAGGATTGCTTTGATTAAGAAATAATTCAGCAAATTTGAATTAAAGAGTCAAACCATTTTTGGATTATTTCTGATTTTCTTCATATTCCTAAATAATTTTTTCATTTTTGCCTCATTCTAGCGTAAACTGAAACGGATGCGATTTGAATTAATAAAACAAACTTGAACAATGTTTGTTTGTCACATTATAATAATTTTATTGCAAAATTGAAAATATGTCCTAAATTCAAATCCAGTATGTTGTGATTTATGTCAATTTGTGAGACCTTAACTGATGGCTCGTTCACAGGACTGTAGCCAATTTTCTGCAGATGGTGCAGGTTCATCCTTATAACTCAATTGTTATTATAAAACATCGCTATGAGATGAATTTGTCTGTTCAAAAATACCAAAGTTCAAAACCTTATCAAACTAAAGAGAAGCATGTCTAAGAACCTAAACGACACATTTAACGCTACAAAAGTTAAAACCATGAAACATTGACAAGCCTTCTTCTCACTAACTCTTTTAAAAAGGATTGCATGTTTTTTTGTGATTTCTTGATTATCTTAATTTTTATTTACGCATTCACCCCTATCTTCAATGACACCCTGCCTTATTTACTTTTTTAGACTTACGTCGCTTCTGTCTGCAAGCTCAAACTTATGCAAATATTCGTTGTAAAGCAAATAGGCCTGAGAATTATAAAAGCTGAAAACATTCGTTACGAAAGTAAAAGATAGATTTTACGATTGTCTCGGAAGGTTGTTTTCCTTTAGAATGCATCTTAGCGCTACAACAGCAATTCTGTGCTGCTTTATATTAACAACTGTTAGTGTTTTAGCTGCAAATTATGTTTCGAACCTGCAGTTATGTAGCAAAATTTGAAGCTTCAATTATATTATTTTTCATGAAGCTCAGCCAATCGATTGAATGAAGCTTTAACTTTTAATCACTTAGACAAAATTCATTCAAGTTAAGTGAATTAATTCAATTAACAGGATTAGCCAAACTGATTTTCTAATTCAAGCAAAAATTTCTTAAATCGATGATGAATTTTTACAGATATTAGCGTTAGAATAATTCCTGAAATTTTCATGAATTATCAGATAGCCCCGACGAATATTAGGGAAGTAAGGATAAAATTCTCTGGAACTTCTAATAACTATTCGTGATAAAAGACGGAAATGCTTAGGGATGGAAATTTAATTTCTATAAAGACTACGATCTCAATGATTGAGGAAAGCAAACTAAGCTATTATATTGAAGAAATGTATCTACTTATCACCAGATTTTTGTTTAGAGCTCATGTACCAAAACTGAATCGTCTCAAAGAACTCATCCATTCTCAGCAACAACAAGTCTCCCTAACATGAGAGCAAAATGCTTTAACCCAATTGAGGGTAAAATATATGAGTTAGTTCTCATCTTGATCTTATCAAATCATGGAATATTTCGCACTTTAAAGGATAGCTCAGTATGGCTAATCAGGAATGAAAGATGTACAAATATTGAGGGTTCAGATCTCATGAAACTTCTAGTCTGAATTTTTGAAAGAAGTAACAGAGGATGCTTCCCATCCTTGGACCAACAATGAAATAAGATAAATCAGTATAGACAAGTAAGCACAAATACATGGATTAAATCAAATACTTTTTATCCATAGTATTCAATTCCCCACATAATCATTTCTGATGACAGAGTAAAAGAAATCTTGATACTAATATTGCAGTTTAGAGTTATACGCAAGTTAACCTATAACTTCCCATATATCGCCCAAAATGCAAAGAGTAACGTGAAAAGCGAGGTAACTGGATATAGTTTGAAGTTTTCATGGACGGCTTATATTGTATGAGCCGCATATGTGCATGTTGCTTGAAGCTAACCAAAGTATATCAAGACTCCTTGATATAGTGACGTTTTTGACGACTTGAGCGAAAATTGAATGTTACTTCAAGTTAGCGAAAGCATATAAGCCAAAGCTTCTTGATGATACAAAATAACTTTTTATGAATCCATAACCAGATCACATTTTAGACCAAAGTACAACTATTGCATTTATGGCATTAAATATTATCAGAAAAAGACCGGCTTCGATGACATCTTATATTTTAACGACGCGAATTATCCGTGGGACCGAGAGGATATAACACATGAGGAATTTGAAAAAGCCGCTCAACCACTTTGTGATGATTTGGGCATTTACGCACAACGGAATGCTCAATACAATACTTTGTACTATGGGGCATGGGTTATGGTGATTTCGATTTGAATTAAGAACTTAAATTGAAATGAAAGAAGCTTTCAACTAGTAGTAATTAGTTTTTTAGATGAGGTAATGTAATGGCCAACATTGATTGGTTTAGATTGAGTGATTCGCTTGCGTAAGATGATCTGTCACGGTGAAGAATAATTTCATGTACTTCGATATTATTAAATTTCTATCATTCTTGATGGAAAATTTCGTTTCTTTAAATTTTAAAAATTTAGAAATAGCATTTTGCTTTGTTTATTTTCGAAAGCACTTTTAGAAAACATAATTCCTTTCAATTTTTATGTATAAAAGCATTTCAGACAAGAAACAATACTTACAAAGATATTTTCTTGCTTTGCTGTAAGCCATGTCCGATAGTCAAAACAGTGGCGCAATGGAGAATCACTCTAAAACTTCAATTCTTAATTCGTCATCAGTATAGCTTGATAAAGAACTATGAACTTCATGAAGTTCCTGATTATATCAGTGGTGTGCAAACTTATATCGATGAAACCTATTACATAACAAATCGAATGTCTGAAATTAGTGCTTCCATAAAAACGTGTAACGCAGAGGACTTTAAAAAAGTGCGTTCAATTCGATTTTGAGCTTCAAAATTTAAAGAAAAAAGCTTCTAAAGTTCCAAAATATAGATTACGTCAATTTGAAAGACTTATTTAACACAGTTTTAACATAACGACAACGAAACATTAAGGGAAGCAACTCTTAGGATGCTTCATTGTTGGTACAACAAAGCGCTTTTCTTAAACCTTTGTGACATTAAGGTTCCGATAACAACCAATAACAATGTTTGCTTTGTAACTGCTAGTGACAGTTTCGAACGGAATAGTCTGTACGAACGACAAATTGAGCAAATCCGTTACCGAACAATTCATGAAATCATTCATCTCGGTCCGTACAGCGCTGCGGAAATAGGATACATGAAGGATCTGCAATGCAGAATACAACACAATTCACATGTCAATATTTCGCTCATTTTAAAAGAAAAAAAATAAAATAAATTCGGATTTTTCACATTGTTTATCAAATTTTAACTCATTAAGTTTTATTAACTAAAGTTTGTTGCTCGAAACAAAGCCAACAGAAATGGGAATTATCAAACTAATCATTCGAAATTCCATCAGTACTGGTATTTCGTAAAGGAGGAAAATATAGATTTTTAGCAAGACAACGAATGCGTCGTCTGGATGACGTATAATGAATACGGTTATGAGTGTTGCTGCTATGGTGATTTGATTGGCAATTGTCAAGGTAAATATATTTTAAGATTGATTTTTAAGGATGACTAAAGCTTGATTTAAAATTAGATCCTTTGAATTTCAAATTATTTAATTTTTAGATCGAATTTCAAATAGCATATTGGTAGGCAATGAACAACTGACGGCTTACAACAGTTTTATGGTATGCGCAATTCCCAATCGCAATAACACAAGATATACTTATAAGTATGATAACGAAACAAAGAAAGTTATACTACGTGGAAGAATGGAAGATATTTTGAATGGAATACGAACGAAAAGTGTAACTTTTTCTTTCAAGTCTTTTCCATTGTTTATATGTTCAAATATTTTTTACTTCATCTTTTTATTTTTCATTTTGTCTTTTTCATTTATTTCCTTCTTTTTTATTTTTTTATCTGCAAATCAAATTCACTATGTTGTTATACTAACTTGTTCGACCTAAATAAAACTGCTGATACTATGCCCTGCTAAGCCTGTCATATACAAAGTTACCCTGATTTTATTCTCATACAACTTTTCCTTTGCATTTATACCGCCAATAATCAGTGTGATTTTTTCATTTTGATTAGAGAAATAAAATGTAGGATATAAAATCACAGTGAATAATTGTATGTGAATTCATTTATAGTATGCTTATTGATAACTGAGTTGCTCCCTACCAGTAGATCATTTTGAGGTCGAAATATATATATATATATATATATATATATATAGAAACTCTACTA